AATTGGTGGAATGAAGATTGGCAGGGGAAACCGAAGTACTCGGAGAAAACCTACACCAGCGCCACTTTGTCCACCACAAATCCCACTTGAACAGACCCGGGATCGAACCAGGACCGCCGCGATGGGAAACCAGCGACTAACCGCTCGAGCTATGGTGCGGCCTCTTCAAGGGTTACACACCCTTTTTGTGTGGGTTCACTCCTGAATTCCTCATCAGGATCTCAGCTTCACACTGACAGTTCGATCCTATGCCCGGACACAGCCTAATCTTCTATGCACTGTGACAACCTCAGGCATCTGTATTTGTACACAACAATTGGGTTAATGGCCGGTCACGGTAACCGAGCGGTCTAAGGCATGTACTGTCTTCGCTCGCTTGGAAACCGGGATCGTGGTTTCGAATCCCACTCAAGGCATGAATGTTTAGTTTGTATGTGTGCGTTTTTCTGTGTTTGTGTACAGGTAGAAGCCTTGTGACGAGCTGATCACCCGCCCAAGGAGTTCTACCGCATGTGTAAGATCTAGAAAAACCGTAGTGAACGGAGAAGTTCATGGAGGAAGGCCTAGGCCCACTGGGACTGTGGTGCCAAGGAAAAAGAAATTCGGTTAATGGGTCAGGGAGGAAACATCGATGTTTTGAGGGGCGACACGCAAGCAAGTGCTCTTATGGCGAACATAAAGTGAACCTACTGCTTAAGCTGATATTGCGATTAACAGAAAACGAAATAACGAAAAGTTCGAATATGGCAGTACATAAACACTTTTAACTACTAACAATTGCAGTAGCCGCCAGTTAAACAGCACAATTAACCACGGTCTCCCTTCTCTACATCCATAATTACAAAGACAATGTTTCGCCAATTACAAAAGTGAATGAGCCCATGTGAGATCTACTTGAGAGTTCAGAGGTTGCCCGCGACTTTACCAATGTGCGTAACGAAATACCGAAGGTGGTGATCTCGTGAGTAGCACCCCCCCCCCCCCCTTCTCTGCAGGGATGTCCAAGATTCAAATCTTGGTCCACAGGTCGAATATCCTACCTAAGGCGTTTCGTACTCTTACTCACGCGGTAACGTACTTGGTTGAGGCACTATGCTACAAGCCGGAAGGTCGAGGGATCGAATCCCAATGATGTCATTAGATTTTTTCAATTGATCTAATCCTTCCAGCCGCACTATGGCCCCAGGGTCGACTCAGCCTCTTACAGAAATGAGTATCAGGAATATTCTTGGAATGTTCTTAGGGGTAAAGGGAGACCGGCGCGTAGGGCTGACAACCCTACCGCCATCTATGAGCCGATTGTCTAGAAAATGTGGGAACCTCAAGTTCTCACAACCCTATGGGGCTCCACGGCCTGTTACAGGGATATTTTTACTTTTTTTTAATCAGTTCCTCCCTGCACATTCCGGAAGAGTATCTTAAATTCGGTCATACCCGCTTCCATACATTATTTTCCAATTAAGCACTCATATCATCCTACAATGTACGAATGGGGGAAGAGGAATATACTGGCACGTAGGATTTTGGCGGGAAATTCAGAAGAAAAGAGACCACTAGGAAGATCTAGACATAGGAGGGACGATAATATAAAATAGATATTTTTTTTAATGTTAGTGGAGTGGGACTAAGTCCCTTGTACTGCGGCCACTTCTGGCCTATTGTACCAAAAATGGATCTTAGAGAGCTAGGATGGTGTGGTATGGACTCGATTCATCTGGCTCAGGATAGGGACCACTTGAAGGCGCTTGTGAACACGGTAATAAACCTTAGGATTTAATAAAATATTCGGAAATTCTTGAGTAGCTGAGCAATTGGCGGTTCCTAAAGAAGGGCTCGGCTCCATGAAGTTAGTTACACAATGCAGAAGTCCTAGCGCTCTTCTTCGCTTTAACTTCCTAAGGGACCGTAAGGCTTGCGGTAAACACAACCGTAGAACGTGTTCTATTTTCCATAAAAACGTTTATTTGAAACATTTCTTGCCTCGATAAACGTTAAAAGAATTATGGACGAGATACTTGCACAAATATATGCAGAGTGATGTCCGATTTTAAACAAAGTTTGGATGAGTCGACAGATTTTGTAAGAATATTAATCTGTTTAATTTAAGATGATTTAGTACAATATGTAAATTATAATTAAACGATAAGAATAATTTTAAATACATGTTCTTGCGGTTCATGACACATGTACGTTCGCTGATTGTTATACTGCCCTATCTTCGGGAGAACAGTTGATAACCACATGCGAAAATTACACGGTGTTACAGCCCAGACGACAACGGTCAGAATACAAACCGACGGAAGGGATAAGAAAACCTCAACGCTCATCAATCAATGTAGATTGAAAACAATTTTAAGCGTGTTACTAGGCGCATCAGAAGCAGCACTGAAGGATGAAAACGCATGACTAATATGCGAACAGTGAGAAAGGGAGCGTTATATGTGTCGAAACACTAGTTATAGCAGAACAAAGCAAAAATATCCGAATAAAGGATGACAGAATTAATTACTATATTGTATACAGCAACTAGGAATAATATTACCGCAGAAATATATCATTTAAATTTGCATTACAACACGCAAACCCTGGGTAGGGTGGTAGAGGGGGGTGCAAACTAGTGTCCGATATACTTTTGCTTTCGCCTCTGGAGGTAATGTTAGAGCTCCGTCTGTAGGATCTATTTATCTACTAAAAAGAGGCAGACTAAATTATGAAGTTAAATGGTATAGTGGACACGAAATACAGAACGTAAAATTAAACGTGACTGAGGTGTAGAACTAACAGTATGTACAGTCGTCACGATTCGTTACGCAAGTCACTGTACCTTACTCGGCGCAGGGGCATCTAGCTTCACGCTGACGCATAGACACAGTTCAAATTCAGTTTTCAGTTGTAAAATAACTGCAGCATTAACAGAGCGACTCGTAGAATGAAAACGAGAGGGAAATATTATAGTGGCGATTTTGTTTCAGGTGAGAGCGAGATTAGAGGCTTCCAGTAGTCACCTGAACGCCTGAACAAGTACGTCGAGATCGGTGTTTTCTGAACGCCTTAAATTGTGTGTATATATTATAGTCTTAATAAACGCGAATAGCTTCCCGCGTAGAGGTGGGTTGGTATACCTCCACCGTAGCTATGCGAGTCGAAAAGGCGACGAAAAGGAAATCCGGTTCCTGGGGATATAACTGGGCCATCCTACCACACTGTAGGACATATATAGAGATTAGCCCTCCAGGTTGGGGTTGGACGTAAGGCTGACGGACCTTGCTAGATCCAAAGACCTGAAAACCGGATGGTATGATTGGCGATACATGGCCTGGAGGAGACAAATCTCGCACAAGGAAGGCTATGGCTCAAAGAGGGTTCCTTCGCAGATGTTGAAATGTGAATAGCTATCCTTGTAAAATGAGTTCAAAGAGAAATAACAATATATGGAGTGACTGCAGAGTGACAGAAACGGGAAGAAGGATATTTCTTCACAGGTGCAAGATCTATTGCTATTTGCCTACTTAGATATGACGCAGTCTCCGTACTATGTGATATCCTAATCATTTATGCCAAGCGTCAACATTATAGAACATAAATTATCTTGTAATATGTCTGATTATGTAATACCGTGCTTATAGAAGAGATCCCAAATAGAGGCAACGCGTAGTATTGCTGGCAAAGTGGAATACTGGCCCACTGCACCATCTCGTGATGTTATCTCATTTGGAAACCACAAAAATGCACGCCACTCTCTTGAAAGCAAGCAGTGCGTTTCTCGTCATTGTCAACCAACTCTGGGCGTTTCTTAATGCAGCTGTTGGCAAACAAAATTGCTCAATAGACATACATGTACCAAAATAATTCTCAGTTTCTTACTTTACTGCTTTCAAACATCAGTGAATGTTTATAAGGTAGACTTCCTAAGATACGTATTGTGGCTTTCTGGCGGCACGCTGCATTATGGTCGGTTGAAATTAAGTTACTGGCTCCACAGAAATAATTCCGTCCTGACAAGCTGATATTTGCTCAGGTAGACAATAAATTCCATTGTTCTTTTGTAGAGAATACTCATTGCCGTGTTCTGCAGTGATCCGCATCCAGAAGGAAATGAAACCAGTCCACATCTCAGAGCCTATGTCCTTGAAACATATGGTAATGTTGCTCTCCCAGCCATGCCTAGTTCGCCCAGGTGGCTTTCCCATATTAGCAAAATGTTTCTTCAGTTTCAGATAACCATTACAGACCATAGTCGGAAATGGCTTATAACAGTTCATGAACATGACTTCCTCATGACACTCAATCTGATGGAACATTTTTTTATTTACTCATCTTCGCGTTACGTGACTTTTCCCAGAAACATGACTACTGTATGCAAAGGCTTATGATCAGTTTGTTCAGATAAAAGCCAAAGTAGTCGCCCAGGTGTGGCGAGGTTATAGCTACTCTGTCTTCAGGCAACAGCTCAGAATATCTTCCTTTCCTCTACTAGGCTAGCAGTGTAACATGCTGGTAAGGTAACGTGACCACGTGTCGACGCATGTATATTCACCTGATACTGAATAGTGTAGTGACAATTACCATAACAAACTGTTAACGGCCACCTTAACAGGTCATATGACTGATGATTATGTCACTTCATGAGGGCGTCTTTTTCACATGCACAGAGGTACTGCCTGGACCTTTCACAATGACTTCTCTTTAGTCGGCGCCATTTTGAGGCCAGAAATTCGTCCCTATGGATCCCCTACCTTCATTCTGAAAGACATATTATATCTAATCATCTCAACTTCAATTCCCCAAAAACTACTCCCATTCCAGAGCCCTTACACTTGCGTCTGATTTCGGAAGTACAGGGTTCCTGGACTTTGTCCGTCGTCTGGTGTTCTAAAGAACACAAAGTTTCGGAAACTGAGCCGTTTCTGTCCGTTTCCCCGACTGTCAAACATCATCGTTAGATCGCTTTAGAATCTACTTGTGTCTGTATTATATGAAGATCGAATTAATAATTTCAGGGTTGATTCTGCAAGAAACTGCGAGGATTACCAGGAGGCGCAGCGAAGAGTAGGCCGGAAATGGTGAGAAGAAGAAACAACACAAGGGGGTGGCGAAAATATGTGGAGCGCAGAAACCTCGTGGAAATGAATTACATCTATGGACATTCAAGATACGGCAAGACAACAGCATGAAAATAAGACGAGGAAAACAGTAAACCGTAGAGTGTGAAAGCATGTACATTTTGTAGACGTGAAAGGGACTGTATATCATAACAACCAGGTGTTAAGGGATATATATTTTTGCACAACTATGTAAAATGAACGCAGAAATAAATTATATTCTAACAATAATTGCTTGAATTATTGGTTCTGGGTGACTTTCTGTGTAAAATATCAAAATACAAGTCACAAATTGTCAACATGAAGAACAGAGAAGAACCTACTTAATGTCGTAATATTACTTATTTCCTGCTACGAAACTATATATTGGCTCCATAATGAAACTTTTTAAAAATAGCTAAAATTAACTGTGGACCGTATGCGTAATTTCGAGGCTAATTTGGAATGTTGCACTATCAAATAATGCATGACACGAACTTGAACAGACTAACTTACAAGATGGGCTTGTAATTTCGCGTTATGCTGACAATAACCAAACCTCTATGTAATAAGGATCAAATTTCTTAATATACTCTGTGGTATACAATTTATTTCTTACTCACCATGACAGCAATGGCTGCAACTACCACGTGACCCTTCATGGTGCAGTGGTGAGATCAGCAGGTGAGTGGCACACACTCAGGATGCTCTCGGACTAACTGAATAGATCACTCGCTCAGCTATGCCGTGGATGTAACTGGTTCAGCCCATTTTCCTCCATCGGTCTGCAACAATAACATACAGTGTGCTCTATTCATTATATAGCACGCAGTAAAAAAAGCGGTTCGGGCCAGCACACTCTCCCCTTTGTTAGCTCTCCCAACACCCCCCTCCCCAAAAGAAACAAACATTTTTGTTTCCGCCACTTCTCTCTGGATTGAACAGACAATTGCTATTGTAAACCTCTGATGCCTGGAATTTCATTAAAATGGATTTAAAAATCAGTTTCTAGCTCATAGAAAACACATTGAGTTTGCATTAAAAAGTTATCCGGTTAATGCTCTTAGTGAAATCATCGTTGTTTATTGTGAGAACTATAGGGAACATGTAAATACCGCCAGTAGGTAAAAGGAAGCGTTGTTTAGTGTTAAGGCAGGTGAGGTATGCAGTAACCATATGTTTCAAAATTAACTGAGAATAATTTATTTTTCATATTAAACACGTATGAGATGAGGATATGGCCTTGAGCTGTCCGGCTGACTCTGAGTCCATTCTGGGTCTGTCCCACAGGCTGGACACTTGATCCAGTCGCTGGGATCAATTCCACCTACACCGGCGCAAATGAAAATGGCGTACAAGTTTAAGAATATGTTTGCTGAAACGCGAAGACAAGTAGCTAGGTACCATCGTTTCGGTGGTATCATCAGCAGACTTTCCCAAAATGTTGGTACCAGTCTACAAAACTACATGACATCATATCTCACAACAACGTAATCTCATATCGTACATGTTACAGTTCGTAATACGAAATCGAATGGGAGTAGGCGCATTCAAGGGACTGCACAGATAGTAGTAAAGCAAACCTGCATCAGACAGAAGCCGATCTCTGGTGACAAAATGGCCGATCCGAAGAATATAAAGTGAAGTCAAACGCTGATTTTCTCTGCAAACGGAAATGTTTAAAGTTTCGGCAACACAGAGCTCTACGTACGCGACGCACGCTACGTACGCTATGTTCGCTATACGAACAAAAACATATCTCCCTTTATTGCCAATGTGACTGGCCACACAGACTTCCGTACGCTACGTACGCTACGTACGCTATGTTCCCTATGTTAGCTGAGTCGCAGAGTGTACACAGCGTACGTAGCGTACGTAGTGAACATAGCGTAGCGCTGTGTAGCCGAACCTTGACCCGTGAATGGAATTAGGGAGGAAATAACTGAAAGCATTTTGCTGGAGTGTATGTTTTCGCATATGATTTTACTTCAAGCCGTGTTTTCTGGAATTTGTCTGTGAAGAAACATTAAAGTCACATTGGGAAAAACTAAAATCTCGACCTTCGACGAATAATATTGAGAATAATCATATCATTATTATTATTATTATTATTATATGATTACTTATTGTTCTTTTTATTATTCTTGTTGTTATTGTTATCATTTTAATAGTAACAGATGTTACGCAGGTGACTATATGTAATATCAGAATTTGTTACCATCATGACAGGTCTATGTAAGACCTGAGTTCTTCACGGCAGCGACTATGAAGAATGTCGTCTTCTGGGATGTGGCGCCGTGTAGATATTGTGTAAACCGACGTTTCAGAGGAACGTATCGTCTCTATCTTCAGGGTAGAAAAATCCGCGAGCGAGGAACCAGCGTGAGCAGGTGGCTGAAGATGGAGGCGATGCGTTCCTCCGAAACGCCGGTTCACACAAAATCTACACGGCGCCATATCCCAGAAGACGACATTCTTCATAGTCACCGCTGTGAAAACCTCAAATCTTACAAAATTATATGTGATAGAGTACTATTTTCTAAAATGTTTCACTATGTATTTCGTAGAAAATTACTCCCATTATTCACTCTTGCCAGTATTTCTCCCGTCTCCTTTCAGCTCTCCTTGCTTACAAAATCCGCCCCTTTCAGGGCTTTCATTTCTTTATACTCCTCCTTGCTACAACTGGTTCTCTCTGAATTTCTTAGCCGGGCGTATATCCAAGTCAACTTTTCCACGTGAGGCTCGCCCTTTCCTTTCGCCAAAGAGAACCCACTCTCAAAACATTGAAACAGTTCATGAAAATGAAAAGAAAAATATATGATCGTAAATCCCAATGGGGCTTCAAGCCAAGGACGACCCTGCTGTGAAGACCAGCATCAACTTACTACTCTGCCCTGCGCAACTCACTCTGCGTTTTGTTTACTCAAGAATGAGTATGATGGCAATATATTTCTCCGAAACGTCGGAGAAATTCTACCAGACTACATGGCGTCAAGTTTCAGCCAATAGCACCGCTGTGAAAACCTCAAATCCGACATATATGGTGATTTTTATGTACATAAACGTCTTCAAGATGATGTTCAATAGATCATCCATCCATGTTAATATCTCCTATGGGCCTGTTGGGCCTGTATTCAGATATACATGTTTCATCTCTTTCTCCCTGTCTCTGTCAATGTATTATCATGTATCCTGATATCTTTTGTCCATTTAACCATTTCTTTTTTCGTTCCACGCAGCTGAATGACCACTAAATGTTAATTTAGATTACTTTTTTTTTAATTAGCTTAGTGAGGGATGGAGTCCAACTGGGTCCACTACGCACGGCGGCCACTGATTGACCTATTGTACCTGCCCCGGGTGATTATGATGATGGAGAATTTGGTGGAATGAAGATTGGCAGGGGAAACCGAAGTACTCGGAGAAATCCTGCCCCAGTGCCACTTTGTCCACCACAAATCCCACTTGACCAGACCCGGGATCAAATCTGGGCCGCCGCGGTGGGAAGCCAGCGACTAACCGCTTGACCTTGTCACGGCCGTTTGTTCCGTAAAGTTTCTGTGGATGTATTCGTCACTCTTCTGTTTATCGTAATACACATTCCTTATAACCCATGTATTCTAAATTGTATGTGCTTAACTTCGTAAAGAAACTCACACTTAAATAGCCCGGAAGTCTGAAACTTGTTTAAAAGAATTACAGCCCATTCCACATTTCCTTCGGAAACCATCATACAACTTACAAGTCTGATTTCAAATATTACTCACATGGATCTCGTCCTGTCAAATGTTTTCCAAAAGGTATCTTTATCGGAAGAGGGGGGAATTGTTACAACACCTATCTTTCTTGAAGGAGTGTAAACAAAATGTCGGGTGTGGGTTCAGGAAAGACACAGGAAGCGCGTGAGCAGTGGCTGCATTACCGACACAACGCAACGGTCTGTTTGTAACGCGCGTGTCGCTATGAAAGATACCGAACTAGACAACAAGGTAAGGCCATTGTACAGTTTATATGTTAATCTGTACTTTCATTGCACCAAGTTCAGAATACGAAACATGGAGTGCCAGAGTATTTTATTATCCTAGTGAACCTAAGACCTCCAACGGGTCGCCATTAGCGAAGAATAGTGATGCCGAAACGCGTTTCTCAGAACGTACTTCAGATGGAGCAGACGCTAACATTTCGGAAGACAAACCATGTGTACTCGGAACAGAAGACCGTTGTTTCGTGGTTTTGTCTCTATTACCAGGAAATTATTCACATCTAAATTAATGTGGCAGAACCACCGAGAAGTTCTTTAGTCACATTTAGTCTTCGTAAAATCTTCAAGACTTACATAGATGCGGAGATTATAAATGCGTAAGAATTTTAATCCGAAAAACTCAATAGGAAAATCCTAGGTCCGTCCGTCCGTCGATCCATCCATCCATGGCTCTACAGCCCTTCAGACCTTGGCCGCTTTTTCAGTTTCTTAATATACACAGTAAACAGGATTCGTTGGACGGGGGGTCAGCCTCTCACAAGGCCGCTGCCTACAGGCAGAACAACACAAACACAGAATATACGCACATAGATATCCTTGCCTCGAGTAGAATTCGAAATCACGATCCCAGTGTTCGAGCGGGCCTTATACCCCGCGGCCACTGTGATCGGCTGTCCTAGGTGTATTCTGGAGGAAAACTTTACAATGAATGTAGGAGGAAACGGGTATGTGGTCCCAGTGGTGGTACTAGTGGGGTGGGACTAAGTCCCTTGTACTGCGGCCACTTCTGGCCTATTGTACCAGCCCCAGATGATAGGTGAGTGTGATTGTGGAGCAATTGGTGGAATGAAAATTGGCAGGGGAAACCGAAGTACTCGGAGAAAAACCGCCCCAGCGCCACTTTGTCCACTACAAATCCCGCTTGACAAGACCCGGATCGAACCCGGGCCGCCGCGGTGGGAAGGCAGCGACTAACCGCTGGAGCTATGGGGCGGCTACTCTTGTATACATGGCAATGAACTTGCAAGCTTTACAGAAATGAAGAATTTCTTAACCAGCTGATGAGCAGCACATTTTCAGGAGATGCTTATACTGATATCACAAAAAACATATTGTGTAAAGGTTCGGCCACACAGAGCTCTACGCTATGTTCGCTACGTACGCTACGTACGCTGTGTACACTCTGCTACACAGCTAACATAGGGAACGTAGCGTACGTAGCGTACGGATGTCTGTGTGGCCAGTTATATTGGCAATAAAGGGAGATATTTTTCTGTCCGTATAGCGAACATAGCGTACGTAGCGTGCGTCGCATACGTAGCGCTCTGTATGGCCGAACCTTAAGCTGTGGAAATTATCAGCTCCACTTGACTAATGCCACCTAACAAGTTGCATGAATCACGTATATGAATATATAAAGAGTGTCTATATAGCGATATAAACGGAAGACTGACACCAGAACGTGGCTTGTACTCGTCACGAAACTTTTGGGTCCAAGAGGAAGTCTGCCTTGATCATGAATCTCCGGCTACGAATAGAATTCATACGAGCCCCTACATTTGGTTTGGTGGGAAACAAGTGCTGAGCAGCCAGCCAATAAACTTCTTTAAATTCGATTGCCGTTATATTCGCTGGAATTGTGACATCGCCCATCTTCTTGTCGAATTGTAAATTCAGTAATTCTTTCAAAAACTCTTCTTCAAATCTGCCTTGTAAGGCGGCCTTTTACATTCAATGTTAAATATCGTGAATGAAAGTAACGTTTTCTAAATTAACGCCCACATAAAATCATTAAGGGCT